GACCCCACTGATCTAGTTCTTCTTGTATCTTCTGCTACTTATTGTTTTATGTACTGCTTCTCATGTTATCATATACTTCTCATATCGTCTTTTATTTTGCGTATCCTCAGCTAACTCTTCACCTTTGTTGGAAACTTTTTCCTCGTCGAAGCAGAGACCAGGAGACTCTTGGGTATCTTCAGCAGAGTTCTTTATTGAGAACGCGCTGCGTGGCGCTGCAGTCATCAAAAGTCTGACTAAGACAGTAATACATTGTAGTTTATATACATTTTAAGGGGGTATACATTCAGTAGAGGTGGAGACAATCTAACCCATAGCATGCAAATGAAGTACAGGCAATCAGCCCGACACCGGCATTTTCCCAGCCTTGATCTCATCAGCATAACAGTGTCATTCAAATGCATAGGTGCTAATCCAATCAGTATAACTACTCAAAGACTGGGGCAGAGGCACCAAGAGCCATTACAAACAAAAGGTGGTCGTCTCAGTAATCTGGTTCATTTTACTAACAATAGGAGAACAGGAACAGACAGGAACCTCTTGCTACACTTTGCTTAAGATAATCATTTGTCTGATGTAATTGACCTTAAATGCTAAATACAATGTACTTCACCTTAGTTTTTCATGTGATGCTATGTCAGAACATAGGATCAGCATATTTTAATCAGATTCTTAAATTTGTAATCCCACACTATGCAGTTTCTAGGGTGTTCAAGGAGGTTCCCAGGGTGTGCTTGCTATGTGGTTACTACATCTTGTGGGTGGTTGCTAGGGCATGCTTTGCTACAGATACGGTGTTCTGGATGGTTTCTAGGGTGTTGTTAGGGTATTTTGGCTGGTTGCTAAAGTGTTGCTGTGCATTTTGGCTGTCAAAAAAAAAAAAAAAGTGCACCCAAGTCCCAGGTCTGTTTTTCAAAGCAAATCTACATAATTTTATTGCCAGGTGAATATCATAAATCAATTTTTTAGGAGTAGCAGACTCTTTTCAACAAGCTGCATAGTTTAAGGTATCATACATTTTTATAGCACAAACAGCGAGGGACAGGCTATGTCATTTGTCCCAAAGTTTAAAGGGGTCATATGATGCGATTTCAAGTTTTCCTTTCTCTTTGGAGTGTTACA